GAGGAATCCACCTCACGAGTATCACTATACTTAGTAGGGATCACAACATTCGACACTAAACCACCCCACGACTCATGGTCGGTGATAAAGCATCGTAGCATCTCATGTCGTCTACTTTTGATGGAAGGTCTGGATTAATAAGTTCCAACTTATTTTTATCCATTATTGATTTGATATAGTCTTAATCAAATTAATTCTTTAGGGTTCCTTAGATCTCATCAATTAACATCTTTACGTGTGTTTATTTACTGCATTATTCATCGCATGAATCACAAGCATAAATAAACCTAACATACATCTAATGCATGCATACGGTGGATGATCATGACCTTGCCTATGCGATTTCGAGCCAAAATGGATCTATGCCTATGCACGTGTTAAAATAAATAAATAGAACTACTTCTATTCCAATTTATTTTATCTACCCGTACAAGCACAGACCTTCGAGTTTTATAACTTATAAAATTACCCACACAAGCGTGGGCCTTTTGCATCGAACGGTCTCCACCTTGATCTAATCTTTTAACGATACAATAATTCAAAACTTTACAAACAATAAATCAAGAGATTCGCAGGTCTCGATAAATTACATTCGTTTAATCGCATTAAATAAAAATGCAACCATCAATCATATTGAATAAAAATGCAATCATTCATCATTATGAATAAAAGGCTCATGATCATCCCCATTCATCACATGAATTAAAACATAAAAAAAAAATATATTAAGTCACACGACCCGTGTGACAAAGTCACACGACCCGTGTGAGTCCACACGACCCGTGTGATCCTATCACACGACCCGTGTGAAAAACCCGTAAGAAAAAATCAAATTTTTCCTTAAGTCACACGACCCGTGTGGCTCAAGGACACGGCTCGTGTGAAGCCACACGACCCGTGTGACACCTCACACGACCCGTGTGGCTAAAAAATCAATTTTTTTTTTTTTTTATTTTGATAATTAAAATGTTTATCATATAAACATTTAATTATCATATAAACATAAACAAATCAAAATCTATTTTTAAAGATGCTAATCGTAACGTGGCTTTAATACCACTGTTGGGTTCGATATACTGTACGGAACAAAGTTTGCAGCGGAATTTAAAATATTATAAGTATTTATCTCATAAATACTTATTCCATACATAAGTATAACGAGATAACAAATAAGCATCATTTAAAATCTAGTAACTTTTACTAATTTTGATTTGATATGTAATTTATAAAATTAACTTTGTTCTTGAACTCCTTCAAAAAATGACGATGGATGAGGAAATCAATTCTCGGTTTGGTAACATCCACTTCTTGATGTTACTCGCTTTAGGAATTCAAATGTCTTCCCTCTAAGAGTATCCACCTTTTGAACTCCGGTTCCGACTATAGTTTCATCGCTAGTAGAAACTACTTGGTTTTTCAATAAGTATAGAATATATATATAATTATAAGGAAATTTTACAAGAACTCTTTCTTGCTTTATCACTCAACTATTTGGATGATTTTTCTCTGTGGAAGAACTTAGAAAAACTTAGCAATTTATGTGCAAACATTTTGCACCTATTTATACTAAACATTTTAGCATAAAATAATCAATATTTGATAATTATTTATTTTTAAATAAAATCAGATTTTATTTAAATTATCATACCAAATATTGACTTTTAATTAATAATGTGGAGTGGTTTATAACCACCATCAAACACCATTATTTTGTCTCTCAATTATTTGAATCTTTAATTATATTAAAGATAAAACA